TTAAATATTTTTACTCTTTAGGTTTATAAGCATGCCAAAGAACTCACTCAGTATAAAAACAGGGATTTCTAATATATTTGCCTAAACTGCTTTCATGCTTTCTTGTCCTCTGTAATAAGAAATTAAACAAAATAAGAAATAAATGTCAATATTATATAACATTGCCCTTCAAATTGCTGTTATTTCCATACTTGACATTGGAGCACACATTTAATGAGCATTTTTGCTCATCTGTAATGATCTTTCAGGTATACAAAGGGCACCAATTGATTTACAACAAAGAAAATTCATACCTACTATTAGCTTCTTATTAGCTTCTATTAGCTTTTTAATGTGCTAAATAGCATGTAATATGTAAACCAATATTTATGTGTTAAAAATTCAGCTTTCAAAAAGTCACAAATATACTTGTAACTACTGACCTCAGCTTAAGAATTAAAAGCATAAACAATTTTTTTAATTTGTTTGTTCTGTGAAAAGATGAAATATTTTTATTTTCTTAATGATGGGCTCCACTCCAATGTGCAAACTTTTCACTTTATTTCAAATAATTTTGCTTTAAAAAAATATTAATGCTAGTTTTTCCTGTTAGAATGAAAATCAAAAAATGCAAAAGCAAAAGAGACAACAGTAAACTCAATATGGGATCTTTCTTAAAACTATATTTTTCTATCCATATGCTATAAATCACAGACATACATATCAATTTGTATGTAGTTAATTGTGTCAAGTCTTCAAAACAATAGAAATAAGAACTATTTTTTAAACCAACCAAAGATGAGCTCAACAAGATATGAAAATTTTATTTGCTTTTTTAGATTTTTGTTGTTGTTGCTAATTTAGGAGGTTATTATTCTACTATTACCCAATAGATATTCAAACCTATTATGGAGACTGAATTATTTATAATTACGCTCTTTTAAAAATGCCGTTCACAATAAATCTATATTTTTCACCCATGCTAAGTCAATTTTTAGGTATGTGGTCTATTTTTTCATCCCCTAAATAAAATTACAGTAGTCTCCCCTTATCCATGGTTTTGCTTTCTGTGGTTTCAGTTTACCCATGGTCAACCACAGTCCAAAAATATTAAATGGAATATTCCAGAAATAAACAATTCACGAGTTTTAAATGGTTCTATTTAAATTTGTTGATAATTGTTCTATTTTATTATTGTTGTTAATTTCTTACTGTGCCTAATTTTAACTTAAACTTTATCATAGGTTTATATGTATAAGAAAAAACATACTACATGATATATTATCCATGGTTACAGGCATCCACTGGGGGTCTTAGAATGTATCTCTTACAGCTAAGGGGGTAATACTATGTAGCAAAATGTCAGTTCTCTGGAAATTAAAAATCAGACTCCTTATTTAACTGAGATTACACTTAAACATTAAAAAAAATCTAAAATTATAAAAGAAAACAGGCTCTTAGTAGAGCTTTATTCCACATAGTACTTCGAGGCTACTTTCCGAAGTCAATAAAACTTTCAGTTGTATTGCATTTCATGATTATACAATTAAGTAAGCTTTATACTTCAATTAGCAATTGAAATCATACAGTATAGAGGCACTATGGCAGATACTTTGAATTATATGAAATAGAATCATTACCCTCGAGAGCTTAAAATCTAGAATCCAGGTACTAAAAAAATACAGCAATACCTAAAAACAGAGGCAGATGAGGTAAATGTTATAAAAGAAAAGTTCTTAATAGACATGCCATAAAAGAGAGGTAAAGTTCTTAATAGACATGATTAAAAGAAGAGTAAAGTTCTTAATAGACAATGAAGGAAGGGATTATGTTGAATTTAGGAATGGTACAAACGAAAGCGTTGTTGAGGAAAGCTACTGCAGTATATTCTAAAAGAGCAAATTGTTCCTTGGAAGGAAAGTAATATAGTAGTGAGGAATTATCTAGAAAGTTAAATTAGAGTCATAAGATAGAAGGCCTTAAATGCTAGCACAGATATCTGGAATGGGGGAATACAAGATGAGAAATGAGCATCAAAACAAAAAATTAATAACAGGAATATGTAGACAGAATTGATTGGGTAAGACTCAGAAGATGGGAAGCTACTGCCATCACCTTGATAGGTACTGAAAAGCCTGGCAAAAAACGATGGCAGTAGCTCTGCAAAGGAGTATATAGATGTGACAAGCAATGTGAAGGCAGAATCAAGGGTTGACAACTAACTAGAAAGAAAACTGGTGTAAGACATTGAAGAATTAAATATGATGAACACAAGGAGGACCAGAAGAAACTAGATTATCCTCAATGATCAAATAACTATTTAATATTTAATTATGCTTTGCATAAAATATATGGATAATGAGGGCAAAAACAAAATTTTTGGCAAAGCAGAAAATTCAATAAAGTAAAATAAATAACATTATTCAAGAATGTTCTAGTTATTAGAAGGTATTCAAAATGAAAATTTTAAGTTGATGTTTGAAATAATCTTCTTTATATATTTTAAAATGGGTTTATTCCATTTTACCATTAAATACATTTTTAGTAATTTTTTTAATTATAAAATATTATAAACACATAATGAAAAATACCAATATACATGAAGTGAAAAATAAAAGTATCATCCTTTGCTTTTTTCCCCTATTAATTTATTATGAACATCTATCTAACTCATTATATACATGTTCTCCTCATTCCTTGTCAATAGCTACATAAAATAATTTTAAGTTAAAAATTTAAAAACACATAGCAATATTTCTGAAAGATAATATTAATAAAAGAGGAAGTAATTAAACCTTTTTCTATTGTAACTAAGTAGCTTCAAACTATATTCAAAATCACCTTGGAAAATGTAAGAAAAGTAACATAGCAACTGAAGCAGGTTATTTTTCTGAATGGAGGCAAGGAGCAAGGGGAAAACCATAAAATAATGTATTTCTTTTCTTCTCTTCCACTAAATAAGACGAGAAATAAGAAACCTAAGGGAAACTTTTAGAGACTATTTTTTTACATCTCAGAGATGAGTGGTAGTATGTACTCCTAAATGTAAGCCCCTTCAAGGACTGCAGTGAACTCCAAGAAAGGTAAACATGAGTTGACCCATAATACATGTGAGGGATAAAATCAGCTCAGGTAATATCATAAAAGAGAAAAATGAGGTAATAGAACCCAAATAAGACTGGAAAAAGAACTAAAATACCTAGAGATGCTCAGCTCCTAGAGAAATACAAACAGAACACAATTTGTGCATTAGAGTTCACAGAAGAAAACTAATTTGAAGACTTTTTCTAAAAAGCATTACAAGCAATAAAAAGACATCCCAGTTGACAGACTGGACTTATTAGAAATATAACAACATATATATGCATCAAAAGAAATAGAATAAATATTAG